TATATATATATATATATATATATATATATATTAAAACATGGGTAAAAAAAAATAATCATATGTCTCACTGTACATAGCTATTCTTGTTATGGTTGAGCTGTTGCTTACACACTACATAAACACTCACTAATTTCAGATACTCAGTGATTTGATTCTTAATTGTCCAGCTCACAGTAAAATTCAAATGTTACGTTTTAGTAAAAAGCCAGCTAAACTATAGCTAAAATTCAGGTAAATCTAAATGTCCTGACTAGTAAAATTAAAATGTATGATATGACTCTGCAAATCCATTAAAACAATTTGAATTGTGATTTTTATCTCAACATGCTTGTTATGATGCTGCATAAATCTTCAATTTAACAATAAAAAGTAATATACAGGCAGTGATACATGTGCAACAACAATAATGTGCATAGTTCTGATCTACTAATCATAATAGTTTATATTAGCTCTGCTTGACATATTTTGTATCGGGGGTCCCTGCTCCATGTCTCTATCACCTAAGGAGTCCTTGTCCTGAAAAACATTGAAAAGCCTCGGTACACTTCCTTGATTTTAACATCTTTAATATATTATAAATTATATTATATACCTACATGTGTCTGTGACATTAATAAATCTAAATATGTGACCCTGGACAAAAAAAAAAAGTCATAAGGGTCAATTTTTCGAAATTGAGATTTATACATCATCTGAAAGCTGAATAAGATTTAGGATAGGACAATATTTGGCCGAGATACAACTATTTGAAAATCTGGAATCTGAGGGTGCAAAAAAATCTAAATATTGAGAAAATCGCCTTTAAAGTTGTCCAAATGAAGTTCTTAGCAATGCATATTACTAATCAAAAATTAAGTTTTGATCAGTAGGAAATTTACAAAATATCTTCATGGAACATGATCTTTACTTAATATCCTAATGATTTTTGGCATAAAAGAAAAATCATTAATTTTGACCCATACAATGTATTGTTGGCTATTGCTACAAATATACCCCAGCGACTTAAGACTGCTTTTGTGCTCCAGGGTCACATATAATTTGCAGGATAGGGGAATGTGTAGAATAACATTATTCTATGTAAATGATTAAAACAAACTTTCTCAGATGATGACAGAATGCACTTTAATCACCATATCTGGACATGCATTTTTACTATAAATTCCCCCCAGAAGATTAAAATGCACGAAAAAGCGATTTAAAAAATGTAACTGAAAAGTTAAAAACATTCATATTTTCACAAATGAATTCCTGAGTCTCATTCAGCAGTTGAAAATCCAGCTCACACTATATAACGTCAAAGCCTTTCATCTGGGAATTGGTGGCAAGGGTGGCGCTCCTCTGTCTCTCATTCCTGAAAAACAAATACAAATAGATACATACTGATCAAACCAACTATTCTGACATTAAAACGCTGAAATATTGCATTAAAAATATGCAAATCTTGTCATGTTTTACATGTAAAAGCAGAAAAACAAAAGTCCACTGTGAGTGCACAGCATGATACTAGAACAAAAACATTACTCTCATTACAATTCTGCACAAAATACTGCAGTGCTCACCTTTGCCGCCAGATTTGCTGGGATAAGACTTGGAGAAGGAGACGAACGGCTCTGGTGGAGGTAATTCAGTCAGAGGATGGAAGGAAAACCTCATCCCCCACTCATCTAAAGGAAAAAAATACAACAGAATATGTGCAGAGTGAGTCAAGAACAATTATATTAGCACTCAGTTTTTCAACAGCAGTTACATAGCCATATTCAGTCAATATTTATATCGACATCATGCTGTGTCTGCTATCCATTGACTTTAAAGGAATAGTTCACCCAAAATGATAACTCTGTCATCATTTACTCACACCCACATGATCATTCCAATCCTGACTCTCTTTCTTCTGCACAATTCACAAGAAGATGGTAGATTGGTAATCAAACTGTTTCAGTGCCCACTGACTTCCATTGTATTGTTTGGCCATACAATGAATGTCAATGGGAACCAAAACTGTTTGATTACCAACACCAGCATTCTTCAAAATATCACTTGTTTTTACATTTCACAGAAAAAAAGAAAGTCATACAAGTTTGGAACAACTTGAGTGTGAGTAAATGATGACAGAAGTGCCATTTTTGGGTGAACTATTCCTTTAAGTTAAATCTGCCCAACAGTATGTTTTCTTTCTTCTATCCCAGAAAACCTGCTTTATTTGCAACTCTGTTTATTGAAGATAGTGGTGAAGAAATGCCACTCTTCGACTTTAAACTCGCTGCCTTTTGTATTGTGGACCTATAGTTTGCCTCTCTCTCATCCGCAGGTATAAGGTTCTTGTGTCAGTCATATACCTGTGGCAGGTGGTGGAGGGCACTGGTAGCCATTGATGGTGTCGGGGGGTGGTGGAGGGAAGCTGGGCACTCTGGTTTGGTCTGGGGGTAGAGTGGGTCTGCCTGATCCACCGGGACGATTAGGAGGAGGTAAGGGGGGAGACACTCCCCTGCCTCCTCCTCCAGTGGGTGGAGGTGGTAGAGGACCTGGAGGGGAGGTCCAGTCACATAATGAGGAGTCCATAAAATAACAATTTCTCATTCCGATTAGGAGGAGGTAAGGGGGGAGACACTCCCCTGCCTCCTCCTCTAGTGGGTGGAGGTGGTAGAGGACCTGGAGGGGAGGTCCAGTCACATAATGAGGAGTCCATAAAATAACAATTTCTCATTCTTAAACCTCAAAACAGTCATCTGAACCTTGTGTCTGCAGGTAAATGCACATTTCAGTTGTCTGAAAAATTGGGAAAATTTTAAAAGCCTTAATTATTATTAATTAAATATATGTGACACTGGACCACAAAACCAGTCATAAGGGTAAATGTTTCGAAATTGAGATTAATAAATTTTCTACAAGCTGAATAAATAAGCCTTCCATTGATGTATTAGGATAAGATAGGACAATATT